CAAACTCTCCCTTGAAGCCACTAGGAACAAAATTAACACACCTGCCTTTACATCTTTGTGAAGATGTCCTTTTGGTCCCATGTTGGGCCACAAACACGAGAGCGGGAAAAGTTTCCTTGGCCCAGCCACACTTCTGCACCAGGTTCTCCCATTAGCCGAGGGGGGGGGGGGTGCGTCAGGGCCTGGGATGCAGCAGTAGGCTGCCCCATGCAGGACCAGACCCCCCGTCTGTCCCAGCCTCATTGCGCTCGTCTTTTAACCACGTTCCTGTGTAGAAAAGACCTCTGGCAGCCCCTGCTCCTTCCCACTTTACTCTGTAATGTGTTCTTTTAAATAGGAAATCAAACATTAATGTAAGAAAAGGCTGGGGAATGCTTAATGAAAAGAGCACTGGGGCTGAGACCTGGGACATCCCCACTCTGGTCCCTGCACTGCCACCTCCCAGCTGGGGGGTCTTGAGCCAGCCACTGACCTCGGTTTCCTAATTTATAAAGTGGGAATAATTGCACTCATCCTGGTGCTGTCATAAGAGGTTGTGAGGTAATAATGAACTTGAAAGTGGTTTTTAAACTTTGCATGCATAGGCAACATTGCCGTTCTTGAGGCCACACATCGGCTCGATTGAATCTCCACAGAGTTGCTATGGTTGAAAGCCAGAAGATGAGATGCCAGCCCTGACCAGCGCAGCTCAGTTGGTTGAGCCTCATCGGCAAAGTGAGAGGTTGCCAGTTTGATTCCTGGTCAGACAGAGTACACGTCTGGGTCGTGGGCCAAGGCCGTGGTTGGGGGCGTCTGGTCAGAGGCTTGTGGGAGGCAACCCACTGATGTATCTCTCACACTCCAATGCTTCTCTCCCTCTCGTTCTCCCTCCTTTCCCCTCGCTCTAAACATAAAAAATAAAATGTCTTTAAAAATTATCAGATGTCAGGCTGGAAAAATTACCGCCTTTTGGGGACTGGGAGAGCCATTTGCCTGTGCAAACTGCCCAGGTAGCAAGTGTACTCAGGGCCGCACAGCTGAGTAAAAACAAGCTGGGCGTCACTAAGCAATGGACAAAGGCTTCCACAATGGCCTGAAGACCTTTCCCAGAGTGCCACGCCCTCCCTGGAAGCACAGCACATTTTCCTGGGGTTCTGATGGTAGTACCGCAAATCCCAGAGACAGAAAACTCTCTAGTATTGTATAGGAAGAGAACATGCTGTATCTTGCTCGGTGGGCCAAGGAGCCCTGAGCATAACAGGGCTGCATTCCAGAATCCAGCGGAGAAGCAATTGTCTCTGGTTTAATTATAGATTCTTCGCTTTCCCTGAATTGCCTGAGTCAATACTGTTGACTCCAGGGAGGTCACGGAGCCCAGGTAGAGCTCTTGCTGTTAAACGAGGTGTGACTATCACGTAAGGAGCTTTTTGTTATGTTCTGCTTTTTTAAAAATGTAACCAACAACCTGGATGTACACATCCCAGTGAGTGCTGGCTCCCTTTTTCACACAGATATGGGGAGATGGAGTGTGGCAGACCTGGTGCTCGCACATGGGGGGCGAGGCAGCACATGGACTGTTACAGCTCTGCTGGGGCACCTGAGCTGCAGGGTCCCCACAGCCACCGGGGAGCCCAGGCAGCATTTGGGACAATGGGAACATGGTTGGAAATACACATTAAATGACCCCCAGAGAGAGGAGTTTTACCCCACAACCTATATAAACAAACACTTTTCCTAGAGGAAAAAAATCATGACTCTTATCCACCTTCCCGGATCCCGCGAAGTCCAGTGAAATGCTTTGCACACAAAAGGCATCCGATACACATTTATGGGACATTCGTCCCACCCTGTCACAGTATTTGTGTTCATTCTTCAGCAAATAAAACATAGACCCTGTATTTTTAATTGAAATAAGTTTTTTGAGCCTAGTTCTTAAATCTTTCCTTCCCAGACACTGTTTCTCCTACTTATTTGTATGGCTGATAGCCAATAAACAATCACTTAACAAACATTTATTGAGAAATGACTAAATGCCAAGCACTAGAAACGCTCTCCTGGAAATTCCGCGAACATTCCTCACCTGCACACAGAACCTCGGGGCCAAGGACGTTGTGCAGGCTCCCGCGGAACACAGACGCTCTCCTGTCACCGCAGGAAGGAAAGGGGTTATTATAAGAACCCCTAGAACTGAAATGTGGTCGTAGTCTGCCAGTTTTTCTCTCAATGGTGCTTCTGTTTATCTTGCTGTGTCTGCTCCATTCTCCTTCTTCCATAACCAGACTTCTCTGCTTCCCCATAGCTTAGCTGATGCATGGCCTATTGTGGTATATTAGTCAGGAAAAGCTAGTCAATGCTTCAGTAACAAGCAACCCCCCAATTTCGGTGACCTAAAATAGAAAAAGATTTATAGCTCTCTCTTGTCCACTAAGGACAAGAGAGGGTTAGTTGAGAGGAGAAAAGGGTGTTCTGCTGATCGTAGCCACTTGGGAACCCAGAATGACAGAGCAGCAACCATCTTAAAAATAAACATGGTGAGGCATGTGCTAACTCTTTAAGTGTCCATAAATCATCCCTGCCCACACTTCCTTGGCCAAAGTAAATCAAATGACCATACCAAACTTCACTGGGGAGAGGTGAGTGGAGATATGCAATCCTACCCAGACCCCGATGGGAAGGAAATCTATTTGTGAATGGCCTTAACCATTCCTCTACAGGTATCTCTAGCCCAAGGCTGCAAACCCTTTTTGTTTCTGAAGTCTCAGCTAATGACCCACACTTCCCACATCCTTTAGTTCAAACTGTGGTGAAAGAGGGTCCCAGTCCATCTCTGCCTGACAGGCCACAACACTAGGTCCCTATTTAGCCTGTGGATCTGTCCTTGAGTCATGGTCCATCAGCTGGGCAACTGGAATATACGGTTCCTATAGAAGGTGCTCACCAATGGTGTATTTGATGAACTGTCTGTAGAGCCTGTTCACTTAAGGAGACTTGAACAGGTCCCTCTGCTATGTTCGGCACAGTGGAGAAAAGGCAGTAACATATGGTCCCTCCAAGAGTTTCTCTAGTTCAGTTGTCTCCTTTCATAGATGAGAAAACTGAAACCCAGAAAAGAGAAATGACCCTCTGCCACCTAAGCAGGCCAGAATGGACTGAGCATTTTGCTATGTGCTAGACAAAATGCTTTCTATTCTTTATTTAATTTTCCTTGTAACAACCTTAAGAGGGATGAATTTTTACACCTACTTTACAAGAGAGGTTGTAACACCACTAAGGCCACATTGCAAGGAAGAGGCTAGGCCAGGTTCAGATCCCAGAGTTTAACCCTTGAGGTCCCCCTGTGCTGAGCTCCAGGCTGGGGAATCAGCTCCCTGCAGTCCACAAAACTGTATATTGCTTGTAGGCCTTGAACTTTGTCAACGGTGCAGTGGCTGGGTGATTAAATATGGTGATTAAAGGGTTCCAGTGAGTTTCAGTGCCATGCAGCCCCTGTGCACACAGATCTACTGTTCTGACCTGTGGTCAGGGTATATTTTCCTTCCTGGGCAGTTGGGCTAGTGGAAGAAACCTGATAAAATCCTGGAGAGGAACTTGATCTTTCTCTGAAGGACTTACAAGTTGTTTGGCCTGCCTAATCTGCTCAGATACCGTCCAGGGAATATTCGGTATCCATGTAGTACAGGTTGTGAATTATTCTGTGGGGATTATTAACAAGACCCTCACCAACAATGCATCAAACAGTTTCAGGCAGGGCCTTTCCAGCCCCCTTTCTTTCCCTCCCACCAAAGCTCTGAAAAGAGCAGGCTTCACCCCATTGGGGGCTGGGAGGAGCGAGAGATGTAAGGGAAATCCTGTTGCCTCCTAGCTGAGATCACTACACAGAGCTGGGCCTGCTCCCTCCTTGGAGTTAAGACTGTGGATACAATGACTTAGCCGGGTTAATATTTATCCCACGTTTTGGCAACCTGGCACCTGAGTGTCTAACACGGCAAGAGGCCAAATCCCTAAAATCAGTGCAAGAAAAGCTGTAAAAAGTTAGATCTGGAGGCACCTCGGGGATCATCTACCCTCTGGATTTAAAGGCGAGGAAACTGCCCCCCAGAGACCAACTCCTCCGACCAGGGCTGTCCGGGAGAGACCACAGACCAGGGACAGGTTGCCTGGGTCTACAGTCAATGTTCTTTCATCTTCGACCCCACCCACCCACCTACCCTCCTTTACCGAAGCACTGCACAGGCACAGACAGAACAAAGCCAACCGGGTCCTGTGTCCCTAAACTATCTAACCAGCCTTCCCTGAGGGGAGGGGCGCGCAGCCGATAGATTCCAGACACTCCGGCCGCCACCAGCGGAGAAAGTCTCAGCAGCGGCCCCCAGATCTTGCTCTCAGCTCTCCCTTTCCCTGCTCCAGTTTAGTTTCCGGAAGGTGAGCGCCTTGGGTGACACCTGGCAAGCCGAACGCTGCTTGGGAAGCGCTGGGCGGACACCCTGAGCGGCTGGCCTGGGCGCCGGGTGCGGCGGCTGCTGGGGGCCGCGGGGGCCTGATGCTGGATGGTCCCGCGGCTCACGGGGGCCACGCGCACCCACCACCTGCCGCGCACCCACCACCTGCCCCGCTCCCGCGGACTCCTGTGACTCGGGTGGGCTCCGCTGGCGACCCCGATGGCGGGGCGCTGGCCCCCGGAGGAGGGAACGCAGAGGGCAGAGGTCCGTCCCTGGCCCCCAGCTCGGCCCCAGCGAAGCCCCGACGCCCTCTCACTGGGGAGCAGGTTTGGAAACTGGGCGGCCGGGCCGACCGCCGCCTCGCGGCTCCGGTCCCCATATATAGTCAAATCCACCGTCAACTGGGAGGCCGGCAGGCGGCAGCGAATGGGCGAGCAGCCCCCGCGGGAGGAGCGGGGAGGGCGCAGGGGGCGGAGGGAGGAGAAGGGAAAGGGGGCAGGGGAAAAAAGCTTTTCCAAAAAAGTATTGGCTGTCTTGAGGAATGCGGTCGTCCCCTTGGGAAAGTACATATCTGGGAGCAGCGGGCGGCTCCGCGCTCGCACTCCGGCTCGGCCGCCGCACCGCGCTCGCGCTTCGCCGCTCTCGCCGCAGCCCTCGGGCCCCTCGCCGCCGCCACCATGGACGCCATCAAGAAGAAGATGCAGATGCTGAAGCTCGACAAGGAGAACGCCTTGGATCGAGCCGAGCAGGCGGAGGCCGATAAGAAGGCGGCGGAGGACAGGAGCAAGCAGGTCTGCACCTCCCGCGTGCGCCCACCGGGCGCCGGCGCTCCGCCCGCCCACCCGGGGGTCCCCGAGCGCTGGGACCTGGGCTGACACCGCTTCCCGGCCCCTCACCGAGGAGACTGGGGGAGCCACCCCCTTCCCTGTACGGCCAGGGACCCGCGTCTGCGAGGGGTGGAGGGAAAGAGCCAGACTCGGGCTTATTCTAACTTTTCGGTCTCGTCTGAGGATGCGTAGTAACCTTCCCTGGTTCCCAGAGCCCGCGAAGTCCATTCAAGCCCTAGAGGCACTTGATTCTCTGATCGGTCCGGGTGAGGGGGGCGGGGGGGGGGGCGGTTGAAGGATTTCAAGTCCAGAAAGTGACATACGTTCTTCCGGCCTCATTTGTCTGGGGAGCATAAACCCTTCAACTGGGACGGAGGCTGGGGAGTGGGGGTGAGGGTCATGGAGTTTCCCCCTAAGAACAAAGATGGGCTGGAATAGAGAGTACGGCCCAAAGGCCAGAAGAGGGGGGCGTTTTTCTGCACCAAGTTGCGGACTGGAGCCCGCTGGGACCCCGGCAGGAGTCTCGTCCTGGGGGAGGTCGGGGTGCAGGGTGGGCCACCGTGTGCCTCCAGCTCCGGCGAGAGGTTACCTGGGGACCCTTGAACCCCAACTCGGCGCCGCCCCGTGCCGGAGGGGCCCCAGCCAACCCGGCGCCCGTGTGTTGTGTGTGTGTGTCTCACACCCGGTCCGTGCCGGCTGCCCGCGCCCGCCCGCCTCTGCCCCCCAGCTGGAGGAGGACATCGCGGCAAAGGAGAAACTGCTGCGGGCGTCGGAGGACGAGCGGGACCGGGTGCTGGAGGAGCTGCACAAGGCGGAGGACAGCCTCCTGGCCGCCAATGAGACCGCCGCCAAGGTACCCGAGCATCGCGCGGCTCAGCTCACGAATGGCTAACTCTGTCTCTCTCTCTCTCTCTCTCCCTCTCCCTCCCTGTCTTTCCCTCTGTCTGTCCCGCTGTCCCTGTCCTTTTGGTTCTGTGCACCCACACCCCTCCCCTGCGGGATCACGCTGCCTGCTGCACCCCCACTCCCCATCCCCCACGGCCAACTCCCAGCTGGAAGATGAGCTGGTGTCGCTGCAAAAGAAACTCAAGGGCACCGAAGATGAACTGGACAAATACTCCGAGGCTCTTAAAGATGCCCAGGAGAAGCTGGAGCTGGCGGAGAAAAAGGCCACCGACGTAAGTGCATGCACACATTGCCTCCCTCACCTGCTGCGTCGCATCGCCACTCTGGAGTCACCACAGGGGCCAGAGAGCAGTGGAGGAGGGTTGCTTCCTCCGGCTGGACACCTGCACATGGCCCTGCCCTGGCCCAGAGCACTGGATTCTGCCCCCAACTGCTACGGCACACATTCGTTCATATTTCATCCACTCCTCTCTTTTTCTCCTTTTCTGCCCCCACCCCTGGAGGGCGGGGTGGGGGTGAGAAGCTGGGAGGACAGAGCAGCTGAAATTGGATGCTAGGGTGAACCTTGCCTCCCTTGTGGCAGAAAACCTCTGAAGTGTCCTAACCAAGGTTTATGCAGGCAGAATGCCTAGTTTCTTCACTTTCTTTCCTTTTGCCAACTCTGGGGGTGGAAAGGCCTGCTTTTCAGTGGTGGGTCTAGTCAGGATACAGGGGGCCTGGCCTCTAGACTGAAGAAATATTTTGGGGCTACTTTTACTTAGAAGGCTGAGCTGGATGGTGTGGCACATAGACCACTCAAGGCTTCCTTTCTCATCAGGAAAGCCTTAATTCAGCCCTTAAGATCTGCCTGGGAAGATGATACTTGCTTGGGTCTGCAGACTGAGGGCACTATGTCCAAAAAGTAAGCTGGGGGCTATATATAGTTCAGTGCTTTATATGGTAGAGTGAGCTAGCTGCCCCCGGCCTCTCCTGCTCTCCCCACCCCCACCTGTCAGCCTCTGACAACCACCACGCAGTTTCAGGGGCGGGACACACACGTAAAGGCTCAACCAGCACTCTGTTCACTGCCCTTTGGAGGACTCTTTCCAGCTGAGGAGCTTGCCCCTTCTGCTGCATAAGTCAAGCTATGCATTAGATTTCCAAAGGACTTCTTTTCACACCGTCGGATTTCATTCTAGAAGCTAATTAAGCCTAGAGGCCCAATTAGGAAAGAATTCCTTGGGAACAATTCCAAGAATGTGTGAGCACCAGGGAAAAGCTATGCCCAGAAGTTGAACTGGTAGACTATTTTGTCTGAAAGTAAAATGCAAATGGCTGGAGAGTCTTGGGTCTTGAAATCAGGAAAGGCTTTTTTGTGGTACAAAAAAGGCTTGTAATGTCATCTCCAAGTGTGCTTTGTAAGTGAAAAATCCAGACTTGGGACATTTAGAAGCTGACAAAAATTTTTTTCAGTGAAAATCCAGATTTCTAGAAAGGGGGTTCAGGGAAACATTGATTTAGCTAAAATATTTAAAGTTACAAACTACCTGGCTTTAGAAAAGAGCCAGAGAGCACATAACTGTCTGCTTTGTATAATGTAGATCAGATGTCTGCTGTGTATAAGGCTAAATGGAGGATGTCTGTCTCCCCAAAATTCTCCAGCAGGACGTTTATTTAGCTTTTTCAAAAGAGCCGCTGATAGATCAAGGAGAGATATTCCTTATAAGGTAAAGAATGCAGAGAATTTTAAAATAGCTCAGTAAGGCTGAAGGCAAGAGAAGGGGGAAAAAGATACAATTCTTAAGGAAAAATAGATGATAATTTGGGGGACTATGTAGAGCTCCAGGTCTTCAGTGAAAAGCTGTTTAAGGGAGCCTAGGAATGAGGCGGGGCAGAAGTGGGAGAGGATATTTAAAGCCAGCTGGGTGGGGGGCAGGGGCGGGGCCAGCAGGGGAGGGTGATTTTTGCAACCCTGTTTTGATCCTTTTTATTATTTATTTATGTGTTTATTTATTTTGGTAGTATATATTGGCCGGCGTCCCCTTTAAGACATTTTAGGTTGTTTGGAACCTGTAGGGATGCTGAAAAAGTTTGTGAAGAAATGCCCCATTTACAGTGATTCTGAAGCAGTGACTAGGTGTCCCTAGAGAAAGGGGGAGGTGGGAGAGAGGTCAGCTCCCTGAGATGGTATTATCTGACATCTATGACTAGGACATTTCCCTGTCATTACCTTGTCCATCCCTAGTTAAGACCTGTAAAACAGTTTGATATTTTTCTACTATTACTACTCCTGAAAACATTTTTTTAATTTACCCATACTTTACACATCCCACTCCAGAAGTGGGCTCTTCCTAGCTTAAAAAAGAGGTAATTTATCAGGCAGCATTGCCATTGGTTTTGTTTTGAATATTTTGTCATCATTCCACCTGAGTGAGGCTGAAAGGGGTAGAAGGCTTTGGCCCCCAACCTCTGCCCCAATAACTGTATGTATCTGATACTTATTCCCTGTAGGTCTTTGATTTCTAAATCAGTGACTCTCAAGCTGATCTAAGAAAAATCACCTAGGGAGTTTTAAAAACCAAAAATCCAGGCTGTACCCCAGGCCAATTAAATCAGACAGAACCTCTGGGAGCGGAACCCAGGCATTAGTATTTTTTAAATACCCAGGTGATTCCAATGTGCAGCCAAGACTGAGAACTGTCCTACTCGCTTGTATAACGACATCAGCCTGAAAGTTAATTCACCTGAAACGGACTTTCCGAGGTGTTCGAAAAGGCAGAACATTAGTTGTCTGCTTAAAGCACTTGCAAGTCCAGTGGTTTCCCAGGCTCCTCCTGGAGGCTCTCAAACACCCCCCTCCCTCCTCATCAAAGTTGGAGGCCCATGGTCTGTACTCCTTTAGGGGAGGTGTTGCAACCTTCCCCCAGACCAGATGAACTGTGTGGAAACAAAGCCACAGGCTCCACCTACAGGATATGAGGGCCCATGTCGGGGTATGGGACATCTCGGTAGAGGCTGTGAAAAAGTCCATAGAAAATGAGTCAGGAAAGCTAAGGAGGTTCGTGGTTAGGGCTCTGGAGGAGGAAAGGGATGTCAGTTTGTTTTCTTTTTCTTCATTATTCCCACACTTATTCCCATCAGGAACTGACTTGAAGGCCCTCTTTCGAGAAAGGTGAGAATTGAAAGCTGGGAGACTTAGCAGGCATTTAAAAACACTGCCCAGGGGACGAATTTGCAGAGGCCCGTTCTCAGAGATTGTGTCCATGGTGGTTTTCGTCCAGCCGTACCCAGATGCTCTCGCAGGTTTCTTCTGTAGCCTTCCTTGGTGAGCCTTTTAAAGGCAAGCCAGTCAGTCCCAGAATTGGTCAGATTCCAAAAGGTCTGAGGCTAATCTAAAATCAGAGAAGGTTGTGACCAGAAGGGCCCCTTGAGATGGTTGTTTTTATGGACAGGAAACTGAGCCCCAGAGAGGCTGGGATAAACATGGGCCCCAACTTGCCTATATTTTAACTAAAGCTATCATTTGCGTTCTTAACAAACGTATGTGCAAGGTATTGTGCTAAGTGCTTTATATTAATTATTTCAAAACCGTCACATCAGTTCGGTGAGAAAGTACTGCCATTAATGCCACTTTCACAGAAGAAGCCCAGAGCAATCAAGCTATTAGTCCAAAGTCACACAGCCAGGAAAGAACTAGGAGCCAGATTCTAATCTAAGAAGACTGCATTTAGAATAGGTTTAATCACTCTGTAATATGTTAGTGGTTTTCACTTCGTGAGTTTTGGAGGGGGGCGGCTATTATTGTTAGAATCGTGTGTTCCGGGGTTCTTTGCAACGAGGAACAGGCAGCCACTTTGGGTCTCCCTTCTGGGCCTGGGAATACGGGATCCGGAGAGGAGCGCCCGCCGCCACTAGGCGGCACTGTACCCCTTAGCAACCAGGCCCGTTACCGCTTGGCGTCTTGAAGCCGGGGAGGGGCGGTGGGAATTGAAGTAAAATCCCAGGAGCGGTGGCCTCCTTTCCTGCAGGGCCCACCCAGTCCGCCTGGTGCCCAGTAGTGCGCCTCGAACGCCTACCATCCCCCTTCTCAGCGAGCATGCGCAGCGCCTCCCGCGGTTTGCAAATTCCCGGGGTCCTCGGCGCGCGCCCTGCTTCGCCGGCTGTGCCCGCCCCCGGCGCTCGCGCACTCGTTTGCGGTTCCCCGGCGCTGCCCCGGAGACCGCGACTTCCGGGCTGGTCCTGGGCCGCAGGGGGCGCCGCCGTCGTGCGGCGAGGTCTGGGCGGGGCGGCCGGGCGTTCCAGAGGCGCCGCAGCCGGCCTCTCCCACCTTAGCCCGCCCGTCGCCACCCCGCACCATGGCGGGGAGCAGCTCGCTGGAGGCGGTGCGGAGGAAGATCCGGAGCCTGCAAGAGCAGGCGGACGCCGCGGAGGAGCGCGCGGGCAGCTTGCAGCGCGAGCTGGACTACGAGAGGAAGCTCAGGGAGACCGTAAGGGATCCACCCATTACCCACCCCAGCCCCTCACCCCGAAGCGCTTCCTCCTCTATCGGCCCCACCGCGCGCCGCAGGGCCCTCTGGAGCCCACCAGCCCCTGCCCCCACGCCCCGGAGCGCACCTGGGCTGCTGTTGTCGGACTCTGCGTAGGGGCCCTCCCTATTTTTCTCTGTCCTTCCATTCCAGCTCTCGGGTCTAACCTGAAGAGCTCCAAGAGGAAGCAGGAGTGGTGTTGAGAAGATTCTGGAAGCAGCATTTTCCCAGAAAGGGCTCCATTTCTGGGGTGTTTGTTTGCGTTTGGCCCGAGTGTCTCGGGTGCTCTGGGAGGTGCACTTTGCGCTGCTGGCATTATTTACTCTAGGGTGGGAAGGAACGAGGGAAATCCCTTCCTTTGCGAACGGGCGCAGACAGGTCAAGTCTGAGGTCCTGCTGGACTTCGGGACCCGGGGATGCTCCACCATCCCCGGTGACCCTTGGTTTTCTGGAAGCCTGTTTCTCTGTGATGCTTGAGGCATTAACAACACCAGGTTCTGGTTTTTGTAGTCGGTGGCCCTTTGATCTTTCCCTTTCTCTAACCACACAATTTTCTTCTACAGATAGATATATTCCTCTGTTACTAGGTCTTGGGGAAAGTTGGCTAAATGTCAATGATTATTGGGTGTATTCTCTTGCCGGCTTCCCCCTCCCCCACGTTGAATGTAATACCTGGCTTCCTTTCTTTCTGCTAAGGCAAATGTATCCAGCAAACAGGAACAGGATCTCAGGTAGTTTAGGCATTTGCCGTTTGTTGATTGGTGAGT